ATCCGCTTTGAACCCCTACCACACCCTCACAGTTTTGTTTCTGGGAACTCACACGAGAACTTCTCACTGGATCACCCATCCTGGGATTGCTCTCGCGCGAACTCACCCATCCTGGGATTGCTCTCGCGCGAACTCGCTTAACTTCGGAGTTCTTACAGAATTCGAAGCCAATAAGCTCCCAAAATGCCTCGTGCTAGGAAGAGATGAGAATATACATATAAGGCTTACAGGATCCACTCCCTTGGGCGATGTGGGATGTTACAATCCATCCCTTTAGGGGCCTGACGTCATCGTCGACACACTTTTGGCCAGGGATTGGCTCTGATATTAAATTGTCACATCTCGGCCCGGGCCCTCACCACATCCCAGGGCCCAACTCCACCGTAGCACGATATTGTCCGCTTTGGGCCCTTACCACACCCTCACGGTTTTGTTTTTGGGAATTCACGCAAGAACTTCCCAATTAGTCACCCATCATGGGATTACTCTCACGCGAACTCGCTTAACTTCGAAGTTCCTATGGAACTCGAAGCCAGTGAGTTCCGAAAAGACCTCATGCTAAGTAGAGATGGGAATATACATATAAGGCTTACAAGATTCACTCCCCTAGGCGATGTGGGATGTTACATTTAATTTTAGGCCATCAAATCTTTTTTTTTTTTTTTTTTTTTTGTTTACCATTACATTTGAACATAGCTGTTAGATTATAAGTAACAAACAAACAAAGGTTTGAAATATAACAATTTGGTAGGTCCAGAATAATTTAAGCCAGACTTAAATCCTAGGGGGAGTTTAGCCCAGAGATAAATTTTCTCCCTGGGGCTTATTTTAGCCCAATGGTTGGAGATGGTTTGAGAGGATTTTAAAGCTTATATTTTAAGTTTTGTCTCATGAGTTGGAGATGATCTTAGTGTAGATAATATAGTTTGTTAAATAAAAAAAAATATTTTTGAAAAGTAATCAATCACGTCATTGACGAGCGAGAAAAGTCTTCCAAAACCTACATAATGCAGCACTAATATGAATAATTGCTAAAAAAAAAAAAAAAAAGCACAAATGAAGCAATCCTATAAGAGCACCAAAGTAGCAGTTGTTGCCTTCTCCAAATGGTTCCCCTATTTTTCTTAAAAAAAAAACACTTAAACTAACCAGATTTTGCTTTCATGTGGTGGAAACATGATAACTCGTAAATAACTAATTATTTATATTATTACACATATTAATTATGACTAAAAGATAAAATTAAATATATGCAGGTCGGTTCAAATTTAAACCATATTATTGCAAACCTATTGTGAGGCTTAGCCCACTCCCCCACCCCTTTAATGAGGTTTGGTTTAGCCATCGAAAATTTAAAAAAAATCCAAACCAAGCTGCGGGTGTTGTTCTACGGTTTACTCTGTTTTTTTTGTTTTTTTTTATGCCTAGCCCTATGTTCTACGTAGAACCCGATATAATTTTGTTCTCTCAATAACTGAGATCCACATAAGCAAATTCATCAATTATACTTTACTTTACAGATATTTTACATTTTTCAAATGCTTAAAATATTCCTATTGCATGGTTGATGTACACAATTAATTCTATGTGGGCTCTTAGGTTCGATTATTGCCAAAGGAAAATTTGAACCATATTATTGCAAACCCATTGTGAGGCTTAGCCCAGACTCTACCAATTTAATGTAGATAATATTGTTTGTTCAAAAAAAAAAAAACAACAACAACAATCTATCTTTTACCTTTGGGTTATTATACAAAATGGTCCCTGAGATTTGCATGATCAATAGAAATGGTCCCTGAGATTGTCCACCGTCCATGATTTTGGTCCTTCCGTTAAAATCGATTCTGGGCAATTTTCAAAGCTTTGTAACTCAATCGTTTCTTAATCAAATTCGACCCATAATATATCAAAATGAAGATAGGAAAGTGTAGAATAAGATTATACTATTTGGAAGCACAATGGTTGCCGAAGATGGCCAGAAAATAGTTTGAAAGGTGACTGGTCCGTGAGAAAACTGGAAAACTCGTCGGAAACTGGGTAAATTTTAAACGTTCATAACTTCTTCAATACTCAACGAAATCAAGTGATTCAAAAACGAAAATAATAATTCTTGACGAGACGAAGAGAATAGGTACCTTTTTCGAAGGCTAACTTTTCATGGTTTGCTCAGACAACGGCTCGAAAGTGGCTAACCATTTTCGAGTTAGCCAATTTTGAGCATTTTTCTGGCCAAACCACGGCGATTTAGCAGCAAAGTAAGATACCATTCTCTGCATCTCTTCAAGAAGTATAATTTTTATTTTTGAATCACTTGATTTCGTTGAGTATTGAAGAAGTTATGAACATTTAAAGTTTACCCAATTTCCGGCGCGTTTTTCAGTTTTCCCGCGGACCAATCACCTTTCAGGCTATTTTCTGGCCATATTCGGCAATAATTGGGCTTCCAAATGGTATAATCATATTCTACACTTTCTTATCTTTATTTTGATGTATTATGGGTCGAATTTGGTTAAGAATCGATTGAGTTACGAAGCTTTGAAAATTGCCCAAAGAGTTTTTAATGGAAGGACCAAAATCATGGATGGTGGACAATCTCAATGACCATTTCTATTGATTTTCAATCTCATGAACCATTTCTATTGATCATGCAAATCTTAGGACCATTTTGTATAATAACCTCTTACCTTTTAGTTGGTCATAATTTTTTCATTTCTCCCCTTAACATACCTCAGGGATAAAGAGTTATCTATTTCAATACAATCATACATACTAAACGATCCCATATTACTCCTATATATACGTGTGTGTATGATAAGGTGATAAATCAACTTAAGCCTTTGCCCAGCTCATTGCCCAGTTCAGTAAAAATCATTTTGTCTCTAGCTTTCTAAAGATTGAGTTGATTCTCTCTGATAGGAGCATATTTATACTACTTAGTTATGTTATTTCCTTACATTTAGTGAGATAATTACTAATTATTATAGTGTTTTGAGCTATTTTCGTTTGTTTGTAGGTCCTAATGACAAACTTGGCAAGAAAAGGCAATTTTGAGCATTTTAGAGCAGTTTTGGGCTTATTTTGGATAGCTTGTATATGGAGCAACATGGATGGACGAATTTGGAGTCAAAAGAGGTTAGAAACATGCTACAAATCAGAAAAGGAAAGTTCATGACAAAGAAGATAAGGAAAGTGCAAGAAAAGAGGAAACATTATCCAAAACCTTATCCAACCTTATCTTATCCAAACCTTATCCTATCTTATCCTAACCTAATCTTGTTCCACCTTAATCCTAGCTGCAAGTGGACCTAAAAACCTAATTTCTAGAAGCCCTATTTGACCCTAAAAGGGTGCCACACCTTCCCCCCCCCCTTTTATGCCTTCTAGAACACCCAAAATTAGCCATAAGACACTTAGTTTCTAGAAGGCCCAATTTTGGACGAAAATTCTTAAACCTATTTCTGATTGGATTCTGATTTTATTTGGCCCTTTTTTCTCTTGGATTTGGTTTGTATAAGTCCATATCTAAGATTGATTGGGCTAGGACTTAATTCCCCAAACCCATGCCACAACTTAAGGGCCCTAAACACTTATATTGGCTAGGTTTAACCCTAAATCTGATTGCTAGGGTTTTGCCATGCTATATATATATAAAACCTAAAGTTGCCGCACCCTTGGAGAGACCCTAGGCAGCCATTTATCCCTAAATTCATTCATCCATTCACATCAGCCACCATTCATTCAGAAAACACATCTTGTGCTGCAAGTCCTAGGGAGAAGAAGGAGCACCGTGGCTTCCATAGGAAAAGGACCATCTTGTGCCGCAAGAAATCTACATCCATTGGAGACTTTCAGAGTTCTTTCTTCCCTTGTTTCGTTTCCATGTTTATTTTAATTTGCTTTTCAATTGTTATGAACATGTGTAACTAAGTTTTTCTTAGTTAAGGGTGAATTCAAAACCATGGGCATGTTTTCTATGACTTGATTTCCTCTAGATTTTGTTTCTTGAGTTGTGGATGTGATTTACTTAATTGATTTATTGAGAACTTGTTCTTGTGTGTTGATTAAGGATGCATACTTAGTTTTCATACATGAATTTGATGCTAGGATATAAGGAAATTTCACCTAATCGTTATGACCTTATATTCATAAGTAGTGGAAATCACTAGTCATGATTGTATTAAGTAAATTCTAGGCAAGAGTATCATGCAATTCATAGTTACGAATGCCTAGTCAATGCTTAGGGTTTTCAAAAAGCTCAATGATCTTTGATTTTATCTCTATTATGCAGTTCATGTAGGGAATTTGATAAGAATAATTTGATTGTCGATGCGTATTCCATCCAATTCAATGAAACTAGGAAAATCTGAGAGTTAATTTGTGCTTTTCACAATTAATTTGAGGCATTGTCATTCATGGTTTAAAAGGAATAAAATCTGGAAATCAATTTATGTTACATATGTGCATGTGTGGAGAAGAACCCCCTAACTAGCCTTTTTCCCATTCAATTCACCTAGTTTAGTGCTTAATCTGTTTAAATTGCAATCTGTCCATTTTATTAATTTCGTCCAAATCAATTCCCCATTTTATTAAGTGTGTTAGATTAGTTAGAAAAGTGTTTGAATCTGTCCAAATTAGTGTTTTGAGTCTAAGTTAGTTAAATTTCGTCCAAATCACCCTTTAGAGTCTAGTTTGAGTCTATTTGAGTGTTTTGGGCTGTTTTGAGTCTTTTTAAGTTATTTCAAGTCATATAGGTCTAGGTAAGTGTTTTAAAGTTTAATTTTGTGTTTTTAAGTCAGTTTAGAGTAGATTAGCATCCCTAGTTAATCCCCGGTTAGAACAATCCCTACTTTTGTATAATTTGTGTGTCAATATAATTTTCACATCACTCTCCCATATGTAAACTCTATCACTGCTGGCTTTTTCACAGTAATCATCGTGTTCTATTACTTATCACGAAGATGGAGAGCTGCAAATCACAAGGGCAAATTATCACCACCTGAAGCCAAGGGTGGTTGGCCTATATTTGGTCACCTTCCCTTGGGTTCGGACCAGGTGGACCCTTTTGGCGAGAAATTCGCAAGCTAGTCACCTTGGAGTTGCTATCAGTCCGGAAGGTTGAGCTGCTCAAGCACATTCGAGTATCAGAAGTGACTGCTTTCTTGAAAGAATTGCACGAACTTTGGAGTACAAGGAAGAAGGAGAGCTCGAAAGATGGAGTGATTGTAGAGCTGAAGCAATGGCTTGGGGACATGACGCTGAACGTGATTCTTACAATGGTGACCGGAAAGCAGTATTCCGTGGCTGCCGCTGGGGATGAGAAGAAAGAAGCGCGTAAGGTTCAGACTGCATTGAGGGAGTTATTTGATTATCTGGGCATGTTTTTGGTGGGTGATGCGGTTCCTTATCTGCGGTGGTTGGATTGGGGTGGACATGCGAAGGCAATGAAGAAAAGTGCAACGGAAATGCACGCCATTGTTGCAGAGTGGGCTGAAGAGCATAAGCAGAGAAGAGCAAAAGGTGATGCAAAAGGAGAACAGGACTTCATAGATGCGATGCTTTCTGTGCTTGATGGTGCAGACCTTGGCAGTTTTGATGCTGATACGATCGCCAAAGCCACAAGCTTGGTACGTATATATAATTCATTAATTTGCTGGCAAATAATTAACCGTAAAAGGCTGGAGTTAGACACTAAACACATCAAGATTTTATTTTTAGTTTCAATACTTAATTAAGCTAATTGCATGGTCTCTAAAAAGAAAATGAAAACATAAGACAAGAATTTTTTTTTGAAAACATATGATTTCCAATTTTATGTATGACTCATGCAACATATTTGAGTGCTCACCAATAGGTGATGGTAGAGAGGTTATTTTTTTAGACTGTTTCTATAAACCATATAATGTAACGGTTGATAATTATGTTATTTCTTTAAATCTTTCAAAATAGAATTCAACCATCAATCGCCACATTCTTTGATTTACAAGATGTGATTTAAAAAGATAATCTCTTTAGCATTTTCATCGCCTAAAGAATGTATAAGTATAGATATCCCCTAATCAATCAAGGAAATATTTTTTTGGCAGAATGTTATTGCAGGAGGTGGCGATACCACCATGGTGACATTGACATGGGCAATATCGTTATTGCTGAACAACCCTCACGTTATGAAAAAAACCCTAAACGAACTAGACACCAAAACAGGGAGACAAAGAGTTGTGAGTGAGGAAGATTTAAGCAACTTGGTCTACATCCAAGCTATTGTGAAGGAGACGTTACATTTGTACCCAATGGGACCATTATCCAGGCCGCGTGTATTCAATGAAGATTGCACCATTGTTGGCTACCCTATCCGAAAGGGCACCCAATTCCTCCCAAACCTCTGGAAGATCCAAATTGACCCGAAATTTTGGCCTAAGCCACTCACGTTCAAGCCAGAGAGATTTCTTACCACGCACAAGGATGTTGATCTGAAGGGTCAGCATTTTCAGTTTATTCTTTTTGGAAGTGGTAGAAGATCATGCCCTAGTTTGGCATTTGGCCTTCAAACGGTGCAATTTACGTTGGCTAGTTTTCTACATGCGTTTGAAATCTCAAAACCGTCAAGTGCCCCAGTTGATATGACGGAGAGTTTTGGAATGACCAACGTTAAGGCAACTCCACTCAACGTTCTCAACAAACCTTGCTTATCTTCTGAACTCTATAGATAAAAGACGGAAATATAAAATATTATGTGTGTGGTATGAATAAGTGGTTTTCGTTGTTATTAATTTTATATAATTATGTGTATATCTCTATAGTCATGAAAAAAAACCGAGACATATCTATACTATTATTAAGAGAACCCTCCTTGTCAACTTTTTGTCATTTTTTTTCCTATTTTGTCCTCATTTTTGATACACAACATTGACATTAGAAGGGTAAAATAGTAATTTTGTATCTTTTGAACTTTCCCCCCCCCTTTTTTTCCTATTTTGCCCTCACTTTTGATACATAATATTTACGTAAGATAAAAACTATGCACTTGTGAAGAGAAATTGTCTCACCATCATTTTTTTCATACATGTAAGTGAAATCATGATGTTTTTTGGATAATTTGAATGAACTAAAGCGGTTGCCCTTGAGGAGAACGTGGGAAGAGGCTTTAATTTTGTACATTTTGACAAAATGACAATCATATCCCTATTTTTCCTATTTTACCCTCATTTTTTGAGAAAATGACAATCATATACCTATTTTTCGTATGACAAAAAAATATGCCCTTATTAAGATAAACTGTCTCATCATCATTGTCTCATACTCTTTTTAAAAATTTTAAAAATAATCACACTCCTTAATAAAATAAAATAAAACAAAAAACAAAATGAAATTGTTCACACGAACGTGTGTGCTCATCTTCTAGTTTTAATTACATTAACTATGTGTACTGCTTACATCACTTTGTACATATATGAGTAATGGAATATCAAAATGTGATATTTCTAGCATTATTTGTAGGGGAGGAAAGAAATCTAAAAGAGATATTATATTTACACATCTCAAATTACTTCTCTCACATCTTTTTAATTTTTTTAATATTTTCTACACACCTACTAACCTTTGATAGAAAAATATTAAAAAAATAAAAAAATGTTGAAAAAGTAATTTAGGATGTGTGAATATAATCTCTCAATCCGAACAATTCACGAATATGGCCGTTAGATTTGATTGAGGTTAGATCTCAACCGCTCATATAAAATAAAACTCCAACTCTCCCCCTCAGAACCTCCCAAACTCTCAGTCCCTCTCCTCGACGACTCCGACCTTCTCTCTCTATTTCTTCTCTGGTGACACCCCACCACATACCACACCGCACCACATTGCCCCACACCTCCAAGTTCATCTTCTATGCCAACACCGCACAGCCAAATTCATCGCTTAGTCCCACCTAATTCAAATTTCACCTCTGAGCTTGCACAAACTCTCTCTCCCTCTCGACTCTCCACCACCCATTCTAATATTAGGTAGCCGTCGACCACCTCTGTCTCTCTTAGTCCACCCACAGCTCTACGAAAACTCATTTCGTTTCAGTCGTCAATGCAAAGCTTCGTCAATTCTCAACCAATTATATCGATTCAACTGTCAATGTCCGTCTCTCTCTCCTCTCTATATCTATTTGCAAACCCCCTTCCCTTACAAATTATTTTTAGTGCTGTTGGTTTTCCGCAGCACGTGGAAGCCCAAGAGAGAGTGTCTTAGCAGACTCACTTTTTTTTTTTTTGGAAACCGAGCAGACTCACTTTTTGAGCGAGTCTTGCTAGCCTTTCCCCTGCAAATTTAATTTCTCTCCTAGAAATTGCTAGATTCCATACAGACCCAATTACAAATTAGAATCTACGCGGGTTCGGAAAGTCAGTTTGGTCTGGGCTTTTCTAGAAAGAGATTCCATGCATAAGAGCAGTTCCACCGTGGTTACTACCCGGTGGACTGGAGATGGAACAGGGCCAAATAGGCCGGGGGATAAGGTCCAACGTATGCCAGCCCGAGGGACTAGGCCAGGCCCAAGTGACAAGTCCAGCAGGGATTGCCAACCCGAGAGCCTGAAGGGAATGTGACGTGCGGACGTTAGCCACAATATAAAAGTAATAAATTAATAAAAAATTTAAAAAATGAAAACATAGGCTTTGAACTCAACGGCTCTCGCCGAAGTTCGTCGCCGATGTTGATGATACACCCACAAACAAATGGCAGAGACTAAACCCAAGGGTTTCAACTCAAAACACATAAAAAAATCAGAGAATAACTCAAGCAATTGAAGTAGGGCAATAACCTCATATGGGTTTGAGCAATGGAAGCTTGAAGCTTTCGGCTTCGATGGTGGATCACCCAAATGGTGCTCTGATGATGCATGCAAGGATATATTCAAGTTCCTCTCATCCAGGGGATTGAGATTTCAGAGTTTGGTAGTTTGATTTGCTTCGGTTTCGAAGAAGAAGAAGGATGAAAAGAAAAAGGAAGGATATATGGATGGAATCTGAGCTTGTGCCTTGGCATCGGTCCATTTTGTGATTCATATGAGAGAGAGAGAGAGAGAGAGAGAGAGAGAGAAGGAATAGGAAAAGGAAGAGTGTTTTGGAAAAAAAAAAAATTGAAAAGGAAAAGGGAGCAGGAAAAAGGCTAAAGGAAAAAAATTAAAAATTATTTTGTATTATTTTTTAAATAAAAAATACTAATATTTTATTATCAATTACCAGGGTTATTTAGTGTAGAGGTGAAGATGCAAAAGACAGTTACTGTTCATTAAATGCAGTTACTATTCATTGGGTGGATTAAATAGTAGATAGCCCTAGGGGGCCTCAGACACGGTGGAACTGCTCTAATACTAATCATTCGGAGAATTTTTCGATCAATAAAAAATTCCAAAGTGCTCAATTCAATTTATGGTTGAGTTCAATATCTCTCAACCAATTTTTTTTATCGAGACTTCAACTTAGATTGAATTCTTTCTAGAAGAAATTAGGTTCTCATCCTTATTTTTTAAACTCCATTGATTAAAACCTTATTCTTTTCCAATTTTTTATCAAGGTCCTTGGGTTTTAATAAACGTCATTTATTTAGTGTTAAAAACGTTACATTTAGTATATTTATATTTATGGTTAAACGTTTTATCATATATTTCTATTCGTAGTTTGTATCTATTTTTAATTTGCAACCCTCTTTTTTAATTTGTACCAATTTTCTTTTAAATTTTAATTTGTACCCATATATTAATTTCATTTTGTCCCTTATTTTTAAATTTTTTATTTGTATAATTTTTTTAATTTTTTATGATTTTTCATTACAAGTGTACCACTTTATTATATGCAAAATGTATCTTTCTTTTTTTTTTTTGTAAGTACCATTTTTATGTAAAATGTACCCATTTTTTAATGTAAAATCTATTTATTTTTTTAATCTAGAATGTACCGTTGTTTTTTTATATATACAATGTATCCATTGTTTTTTACATAAAATATACCCATTTTTTGTTATATAAAACATGCCCCTTTTTTTTGTATAAAATGTATCAATTTTTTGAATGTAAAATGTACCCAATGTACCAATTTTTTTATTTGTAAAGTGTAGCCTATATAATTGTACTCATATTTTATAAAAATAAAATTCCATTTTTTTTATAACCTAGAATGCACCCATAAGCGATTTTTTATTTATTTTTTATTTTTTTGTAATTTTTATGAAACCCCATAAGCAATTTTGAATAATTGAATTGGCAGTGTAAATGAAAGCAAAAAAAAAAAAGAAAAAAGGGTTGAGTTTGTATTGAGATTATTGCATCTCTTTTATTATTATGTCATTTATATGGTAGAGGAGGGACTTCAATCAAAAACTTAAAATGCATAAGGTTTGAGTCTATAACAGTTAGGGATCAGATACCGCAACTAAACTATCCCTTCTTTATAACATATAAATGAATAAACTTCATTAATTTGAGAAATCGGGACTGAATGAACTTCGGTACTTTGGTCCAAATACTTTTCTTGTCCTTCTAACTACTGCAGATCGGCTCCATAGGAAGTAGCAGAACACCGATTATCCAAGAGTCAGATTGTTGCTTATGGAAGAGGAGGCAGGAGCTCGCGACGAATGGAGATTCTCCATGGCATTGGCTTTTGCACTCAAAAAATGGAGGAAAGCTCGGAAGGGCGGATACATCTAGCACATGTTTAATGCTTGGTTATTTGAATCAAATTGGGAGGGGTCGTGGCTTTGCCTATTGAATAGCACCTTGGCCGGTTAACATAATCTTACGATAAATGGAGTCTTGGTTAACATAATCTTACGAGAACGTATTAAAAACGCAAACTGGCTACTTTTATTATATTTTTCATACTATATTTGTACTAACTTTCTAAAAGAGATGAGACACACATGTGTTTGTGAACCCTACTTCTATTTGAATAAGTAGTATATTGTAAGTACAGCATTACTTTTATAAACGTGACAAGATATCATATATTGAATCAATAAAATTTTAATTAAGATGAATTCCAAAATTAAAAAGCAACCCACTATTTCTTATAAAATTACAATAAAAAGCAACCCACTCTTTGAGCATTTAGAATGATTTTTTGGTTTTTAAGATAGATTACCTGGTGCCCAAACCTAGATATTGGTTTAGCAAAGAAAACAATTTTTACCAACTCAATTCATCATTGTTGGCTATTTTATTATACTTTCATAACGTTTTTTTTTTAAACCAAACGATATTATCTACACTAAGAAGAGTAGGCTTAATCTCACAATGAGCTAGCAATAATGTAGTTCAAATTAGCCTTTGGAGAGAATCAAAGCTAAAACTTCTCACTTACAAGGGAAGAAGAATACCACTAAATCGTATAACTAAGTGACTACTTAGATAACATTTGAACATGAGATTCTTCCATTCTTCAAGGAAAAAATTGCGTTTTTTTTCCCTTTTTTTTCAACTTATAGTTGTGATCACATTGCGAGATTAATCAATAGTCTTGTTGTATAAAATGCAAACGAAATACATAGAATCTTGTTAGTTGGTTTATTGTCGTACCTCTAACAACTAAATAAAATAGAGAAATGCTAGCAAGACATGGTCCCAAAGCGAATTTGAATCTTGTTAGTTGATTACTTCTTTCTTTAAATCAACTTCTATTTTCCGATTCTCGTCAAAAACAAATTTGAATCACATTATTACTAACTCATTGTGAGACTAAATTAGCATCTCTCTTTTAGTGTGGATAATATCGTTTGTTAAAAAAATTCTTATGTTTTGATACTGCCATGATTTGTCGCACTAAATTGTCAAACATGAATCAAAATGATGATCT